ACCTTACTTGATGAAGTAGGAAAATTGTTCTCTCTAAAATGAGGAATAAGAAAAAAATAGTCATCGGAGCTTCTACTCAATATTAAACTGGTGATTCTAACCAGTGCAGGAACGGGTAAGAGGGGTTAGAAGTGTGGCTCTGTGTCAGAGGGTCTGTAAAAGAAAAGAGAAAGGATGGAAGGAGGAAAGAAGAGAAGCAAAGAAGGGAAAAAAGGAAGAAGAGAGGGAAGGAAGAAAGGGAGGGAGGAAGGGCTGAATGAAAAACAGAGGGCCAGGGATGAAGCTCAGCGGCACTGCACCTATCTCACAAGTGCAAGGTTGTGTGTTCGATCCCCGGTATAAAAAAAGAAGAAAAACAGAATTGCTCTTATTTTCAGGTAATGTAACTCTCTACACAGCAAATCTAAAGTAATCTACAAGTAAATTATACAAAGGATTTACTTATGTGCCTTTTACAGCGTGAAAGGAAGACCTCGTAGGACTGTCTTAGAAATGTGGTAAGCCAGAATAACGAAGGTCCAAAGCAGCCACTGTACTCACTAGTGAAGATCCACGAAGCAGTAGAAGTTGTTGTAGCTGTCAAGGCTTACCCGAAAACTGCAGCAATTAAGACAGCCTGGGACTGACAAGGGATGTTTAACTGACAGGGGAGCCAAACAGAGGGCTGCATGTACACAGAAGTCCCCTATACAATAATGCTGGTATTGTCAGCCAACTGAAAAGGATAAAAATGGATTTTGCTTTTCCAAGTTTTTCTTTTTGGTACCAGGGATCGAACTCGGGACCCTGCACTTGTGAGGCAGGCAGAAGAACCACTAAGCTAAATACCCAGCCCTTAAAATGGATTTTTACCTCAATGTGAAAAATGTATTTACTGCTAGACCAAGAGAATAAAGTAAAAAGGCAAACTTTAAAAGGAGAAAAAACTCTGAAAAAATACAAACTAGAATATGACATTTTGAAAATATACATATGTTTCATAAAGTAGCTGTTCCCCTAAGCCCAAGGAGTAAAATGATGAACTACAAACCACTAAGAGGTCTCTGCTATATACACTTAATCAGAAAAAGAATTCAAAAAATATTTTTAATATTTTGTCTTTAAGATAAACATACAATAAAACAATAGGCAAAAATAAAAAACCCAAACAAAACAAGCACCTAAAAGGATATAGCAAACAACCAATAAATGAAGACAGTTTCATTAATAATCCGATGAATGAGATCGAGAGCACCATGTGATACCATTTCTTATTGCCAGATTTGTAACATTTTAATTCTGCTCATTATCAAATATTGGCAAGGAAGTAGACAGTGGACACTCACTGCCCAACAGAAGTATAAAAATACAGAAAATCATTTGTCATTACTCAGGTCGAAAACAGCTATACCCTGAAACAGGAGCTTCTACCCTAGTCTCAGAGCATTGTCACTCCGTAAGTCACCGCCGGCACGCGGTAGAATGATCGGTGTGCGCACTTCAGGATAGCCAGCACCCTTTGTCCTGCCCACTCACTCTCCAACAGCAGTGCTAACAATCACTGTAAAAATGAAGAGTGCTTCCCCAATTTCTAAATGCCTTTTATGGGGACAACACCAAATCCTGGTGACAACTACTGTCCCCTAGGACTGCATATACATCCGGTATAAGCTCCTATCAGCATTGCTCATAATCCCCCCTCATAAAAACCCCACTGGAAATGATGCCCATTGCTCAGGGTGGATAAATTACAGCATGTATCTACAGTGAGATGCTCACATGTAGCAACAAAAATGAACTGCCAGAAATAAGTACTAAAAAATACAAACACTGATTCCATTTTTTAAAAGTTTGAAATGAACAAAATGGCAATTACTCAGCAATATATATGTGATAAAACTATTTTTTAGAACTATTTCAAAAGGCATATATAATAAATTTCAGGACAGTGGTTTCCTCTGCAGAGAAAGGAAGGGTATACAATTGAGGAAACAAAGTTTTTAAGTTTAGTAATGGACACACTGGTTATTTTTCTTTTACACACACACACACACACACACACACACACACACACACACACACAGAGTTCTTGCTCTCAAAAAGTTTACCTAGGGATAGGGGTGTTGTGGGGGGTAGGGGAGGACTTTTGAGTAAACTGTTACTGATCAGAACAATTACAACTGCAACAAATTTAAGGAAAAATAAGGAAGTTGTCATTTGAGGCAAAGGACAAATTTTGAAAAAGTTACTGACATCTTACAGTTATGTGGAATTTCACAGGCAGATGGAGGGGTATTCTAGAGAAAAGGGACCAACATAAGCATCAAACAAAAACTTGTAATGTGTGGGTGGTGTGGGGACACCCTGAGCGGAGAGTTTCATGTTTGATCCTATAACCAAAACAATGGAAGGGTTGCAAATAGCAGGTCTGATTTTTAAGACTGCTTTGGTAACAGGCGGCCCAGTGGGCTAGGAGGGTGGCGTGAAGGGTCTGGAGGTGTGGTACCGAGACAGAAAAGAGGACAACCCAGGTAAGAGATGAGACCCCAAAAGTCAGCCAAATAACAGAACAGAGAGATGAGGACAAAGGTCAGTTGCTGAGAGACAAACACAATAATGGCAAAATGAAAGAAGTGAGAAGGAAAAAGTCACTAAAATTGAGACCGTGGTGAAAGAGGTACACAGGACTCTGAGGAAGGTGACACAAAAGTAACAGATTCTAAAGAAGGGAAGAAGGGTCAGTCACGCGAAATGGGAAAGCACTTGTGGAACACAATGAGTCGTGGAGTGGTGAGGAAGTCACCAGCTGCCCCGAGGGCTCTTTCAGTGAAGGGGACAGAAGACCCCGCCTGAGGCAAAACCAAGAGTGAGGCAGCGCTGAGGAACAGGGTGCTGCTTCCAGAGTGGCTGAGAGCCAAACATCCACAAGGAAGACTTGAGCATGTTCCTGGGCTCAGTGAAAAGGCTGGAAAGGGAAAAGGGGTGCAAAGTCCCAGAACAGACAGGAAGAAATGGATACCACTGAATACTGAAATTGTAGAAAGCAGAAGCAGGAACCTTTCTCACTGTGAAAAAGAGGCATCTGGGCACAAGACTTGAGCATCAGCCAGATGCCAGTTATTGTACAAAGTGCTGGGGCGTAAACGACACATAACTCAGTCCCTGACTTCAAAGAATTTATGGTTTAGTGGGCAAAGGAAAATGAGCGTGAGCTGCAAAGGGCAGTGCAGCAGACGCTAGAGGAGGGAGAGCGCGAGGCCGCGCCGGGCCTGCAAAGCCAAAGGTACCTGGGGCGGGGGCATCAAGAGGTGCTGGGCAGTGTGTGGGAAGCAGTGAACGTGCACGACACCTGCCAGGTAAGGAAACAGTCAGCTTGTATTCGAGATACACTGCGGCCCAGTACTTCAAAGCAACCTTAGCATTTTAATTTTGCCAGTGGAACAACTGAGACCTAGAAGTTAAAATATGACAGGCACTAAGGACCATCCTGAGATTGGAAGCAATGTTTTTACGGTGTTTATTGTTTTATTCACATTATCGAGTCTTACTTCACTGTGCTTCTTAGCTCAAGAGTGCTGATCCAGCACCCTGGTTTACATGAGTACAAAAGAAAAGGTGCAGCAGAACAAGGGAAGTGGGGAGTAAAATAAACGGGGAAATGAGGGAGAAAGCAATTCAAGTAATTAACTACTCTAGGTCTTGGTAGGTTCAAGGAAACAAAGGTTAAGCAGACTGTGGAGGGAGGAGGGATGAAGGAATCAAAAGAGCTTCAGACTATTCAGCAGTAGAAAGTGAAACACCACATTGAGGCAGAGTAAAATTTTAAAAATTTCATTAGTGGAAAACTTTAGAGTGATGTCAAGGGCCAGACTAAGCCCTGAAATTGAGTTTAAGAAAAATGTCAGTCACATTGGATGAGGTCACATACTTTGCAAACAGTAAGTTAAACAAATTCAGACTATGGCCTCCAACTTCAACATTATTATTCCAAAGCTTCTACATACCTCATAAGCCTTAATCAACATTTTTGCTATACTTCTTTTTAATAGTTCTGCAGTATCTCGGTTTACAGACTTAACTGGTTTTAAGATTTTGGGGAAGAAGGCGACAGTCGTGTTTGTCACCCAGTGCGCAGTTTGTGAACGGAAACAAAATTTTGCCAAATGAATTTGTTTGCATCCCAAATTGTCTACAGACAGATGCGTTATGAACCAAGGTGATACTGCAACTCCTTGACTTGTTACACAGAGCCTGTGTATCAGCTTAGCTTAAAGATTTTAAACTGTCATCCTCATCGTCCTGTCGTGGCAGCCAAGTACTTTTCTAGTTGAGGACTCTTTCAGCTCTTCTTCTGAGGCACTGCTATACAGTACCTGTTACTACTTTAATTTGCTGCAGGGAACTAACAAAATGTTTCCAAGAAAACCTAGGTGATAAACCCAGAAGGCTTAATTTACTTACACCTAAGGGTAAGAGTGATTTTATTTCTTTTCTACACATTAAAGACCAGGGATTGTGGCAGGGCTTCTGTATCTGACTAGAAAAGATAACCCCACATTATTTAAGGTATTGGCTCACTGTGGTTCCAGTGAGTGTATTTCCAAAATCCCCTAATTGGGACTGAAATTTACTAACTCCTAAGGCAGTAGTGCAAAACTACGGCACATGTGTTACTTGTTTTTAAGACAAAAGATGTTAATGTATGAGTTGTTTTTTCTAAACTAAACCTCAGTATTCGGGCTGAACCGCAGAGCTGGCATCTGCGATAATACACAGGCTTTGGGTTGCGCTTGGGCACTGGTCTCTACAAGGTTGGCCATTGCTATCCTGAACTATTATATAAAAGGTTTTTTTTTTTTTTTTGGTACCGGGGATTGAACTCGGGTCCTTGCGCTTGCAAGGCAGGCCACCAAACTGCTGAGCTAAATTCCCGGCCCTAAAAGGGGTTTTTAAATATGAAATACTCCTCATCCTTTCTGAGATCTGTAGAAAACTCACAGAGGACCCCTACTGTTACATACCTCTTTTTTGGCTTCTTTTTTAGGATCATAATCACTGTCATTCCCATCCACTGGGTGTGTTTCTTCCACATCGTCATCACTACGAAAGAAAGAAACCTTTTACTTTTATTCCAGTGCACCTATCAAATCATATTATTTCTAATAACTTTACTAAGTATTCCTTAAAAGGACAAGAAATACCACTGAGAAGATGAAAACATAACTTAAATTTCTGTAGTGTTTAGAAACAGCTTTTGGGGCTTGACAGAATCATTTTAGCTAAAAAATACTTAATGGGAAAGAAATTTAGAAAAAAATATATGAGAAAGAGAACACAAACAATTTGAAATAACACTTATAATTTTAGGTCTTTAGCTGAAGAGTAGACGCAGACCGAGCCCAGCCCCCAGACGACTGCACACTACTAGGCAATGCAGTCAAGGACTCCGGCTACTCAGGAAGTTACAGGAAGGGCTCTTCCAGAAGCAGGGGTTTTAATATATTCTAAACACATATATCAACCACAGTAGTACTACAAGGAAACATTTATGATTATGCTTGGAAGAGCTGAGGAGAATTATTTTTTTTTTTTTGTACCGGGGATTGAACTCGGGTCCTTGAGCTTGCAAGGCAGGCCACCAAACTGCTGAGCTAAATCCCCGGCCCTGAGAATTCTTACTATTAAGACTTTTGACCCTTTGGCTTTTTCCTGTCAGAGTAGAGACATAATTATTAATTATTTTTTTTTTTTTGTACCGGGGATTGAACTCGGGTCCTTGAGCTTGCAAGGCAGGCCACCAAACTGCTGAGCTAAATCCCCGGCCCTGAGAATTCTTACTATTAAGACTTTTGACCCTTTGGCTTTTTCCTGTCAGAGTAGAGACAGCAGTGTAAGAATAGGGACAATTTCCAGGGTGCGGTGACAGTTTTTGTGCCTCACAGAACAGAAGCGATGCAATGCAACGTGCCTAGCACTGGGACTAAACAGATGCAGCCAACCTACCTGTCCCCCTGATTATGTCTATTGGCTAGTTTACGAGCCTGGCGATCCATTAAACTTGTCCTAGAGCGAGTTTTTTTCCAAGAATAGTAATATTTTACAAGGCTTGCAATTGTCTTATCTGGAAGCTTTAAAAAAAATCATGTTAACATTAGCAGGTTTAATTCATTAAACTGTGACAAAATGAATAATATTACTCTTTGATAATAAAAACACAAATGAAAACTATTTGATAGGTACCTTTATGAACTATAAGAGCTAGAAATGACACACCAATGCAATTCACATTTCTGAACTGGTATTACTATTTGTTCTGGGGGAGAAAAAAAGGATGTCACAAACTAACTTGGTAACAATGTCCCCAGAAGTCCCCAGCACAGCCATGTTAGCATTTAATATTCCTTTCCTTAAAAAGCTCCTATTCCCCAGTCTCCACATAAATTGAAATTTGGGGATACAATTCAAGTAACATAAAATTCACCATGTAAAGTGTACAATTCAGTGGCCTTTGGTGTACTAAATTATACTGTTACTTCTATCTAATGCTGTGATATTTTCATAACCTCAAAAAGAAACCCCATACCTATTAGCAATTATTCCCTATCTGTCTGTGTGGATTTGCCTATTCTGGAGATTTCATACAAATAGAATCATACTCTATATTGTCTTTTTTGGGAGGGAGTACCAGGAATTGAACTTGGGATCTTTTGCTTGCAAGGCAGGTGGTGGAACCACTGAGCTAAATCCCTAGCCCCCTCTATACAGTCTTTTGAATCTAGCTTCTTTCATTTAGCAAAATGTTCTCAAGAATACCTAGTCTATTATTAATACATTTTGTAGTCGTTTTAAATCTAGGTCTTAAGATGACATGCAATTAAGCAAACAGACTTTAGCCACCAAATAGAGTCTCTGGATATGAAAGCAACTAACAATTGTGCACTCATCTGTCACAATAGCAAATGAGATGAATTCCCCACAAAAAAATGTTCTCTTCCATTACAGGAGGTACCTGGAAATATTTATAAACATTACCTAATTTTTATTTATTCTAGTTAAAAGTTTAATGCAGTAACTTCTTAGACTTATTCTGATAAAATACTAAACATTTAAGAACTACAACAGTGATTTACCTTAACAATCAGAAAAATAGCAACACCTAAACAGTGAAATAATACAGAATTTTTAAAAATGGGCTTTCATAGCCAAAAACTTATAAATTAAAGAGCCAAATCTCAAGGTCAAAAATAAAACATTTAAAAATAAAGTAGAGGGCTGGGGATTTAGCTCTTGGTTCTGCTGCCTGCCTTGCAAGTGCAAGGTCCCAAGTTCAATCCCCAGTAACAAAAAACAAACAAACAAATAAATAAATTAGAAACTGATTTTTTTCCTGGAACAACAAATATTTAGTAACTATGACATACATTATTTTTGTCAAAATAAAAATTATGTTACACCACTGTTAGGCATGATCACAGAAAATAGGACCATATGAAACAAATACATCTATTTCAATATATTTTTTAAAGCCAAGTTAGAAAACTTTCATATTTAATAACTGGGAAATATCCAATAATATTGTAACATATATTACAAAAGACTGAAATCACCATACCATTTGCTGAATCCTGTGAAAGCTCTTTCCATGAAAACTAAAGGCTTGCTCAAATAGGACTTTATCTTCCACTGTCCACTCATCCGGAAAGGGAGTGAAATTAGGGAGATCAGCAAGGGACTTCTCAATGTTATGTTTGTGCCAGAACAGCATGCCAAGTGCCTTTGAAGAGAAATCATCCCCCTTGGTTTTAATGGACTTATGTGCCATTAAGTTCAACACGAGGTTCACAAAGTTCCACATAGACATTAGATAAAAATTTTAAGCCTGTGACTTCCACAAGATAAAACTGAGTTTGACATTTTTAATCAGGGGTGCTCAGACAGCAGACGTCATTTACTTATTTCTTTTAAATTTGGACCTCAGAACAGTCAGTGTACATACATACCACATCACAGCAGAATCTAGGAAAAACAGTGGGCTGGGGTGTGACTTTCATTTCTAAAGCAGACTTGTAGGTTCACGTCAAGACTTTACTTATTAATTTGCCAATGTGTAGGGAAAAACATGCTAAAAGGAAAATACCCAGTAAATCAATATTTGAATAAAACTATCAGTTACAACACAGAAGTAGAAACCCTCAGTTGGAGTGTGTCAGAGAAATGGCTAAGTTTTACTAACCTTTCAGAAGAACAATGCAAGCTAAATACTTTGAAGAAGTAAGTGTACCACCATTGTACTTTAACAATTTTATACATTATCATGTACACTTTTTAATTTTCATAATATGTATACATAAAATTACCAGAAAGCATACAAGGAACTCTGATGACTTGATTACCAAGTCATAAGAAAACCTGAAACAGTCAATTTTCGAAAATTCTGTAACTTACTCCTTTACTATATAAGTAGGCTTTTACCTTTACTATAAGGTATTAAGCATCATTTAGGGGATAAATTTTTATTCTTTAAAAAGCAATACAATATTTTAAAGTAGTAAGTTTGAAGATACATTTTGATGACAGACCTTTGCAACAAACATGAAAATGACCATATATGCAACTACATTTTAAAGGATTAACTTTGTCTCAAATAAATATTGAAACAGAAATGCAAGGCTTAGAAATAAAATAGTCAAAGGCTTCAAAATCCACAAAAAGTTAATTTTGTGTGTGTATAGATATATCTCAATTTCACAAAAATGGTGACTATCACGTTAGCTTTTGGTAACTCGAGATATAATGATTTTACCTTTCTTCTCTAAAAACAAATTACCTACTTAACTATTAATTCTGATCAAGGTTGAGATGATACTTAGTTGAAACAAGATTTAAGAATCTATTCACAGGATACTGCAATGGTGTGCACCTGTAGACCCAGCTACAGACTGAGACAGGAGAATCACCTGAGCCCAGGAGTTCAAGGCCTGGGCAACAGAGAAACCTGCATTTAAAAAAAGAAAAAGAAGTTTCTCTTACATACCTGTTCAACATTATAGCCATGTTTCTCCTTTGCAATTGCAATATATTCATCCACTGTAATGAAAATGTTAGATAATTATCTCATTTACTTAATTTGCCCAGATCTACTTGTATGGCAAGATAAAATAATTATTCCAGAGATAAAGCAAAAACAAAAAGGCCAAAGTCATCTTCCACGAAATGTTACAAAAAGAGACATTTAAACAGGCTCAGAAGTTCCTCAAGCTGAACATTTTATTTAGTATGACATCTCTATGGTCACATACCATATACTTGCTAAAGTCAACAATTATTATGATTATTTTTGTATGTAGAAAAAGACCAATCTTTGAGTAGATAATAAAACCTACAGTGTAAAATACTAAAATAAATTCTTCATTTTTAAATTATAGTCTTTATTATATTTGAGGCCCTTTCTCATATTCAGAGTTTCTTCATTTTTCTATTATAGTCTTTATTTGAAGTTATTTGGCTATTTGAGACCCTTCCTCATATTCAGAGTGGCCCAAAGCCTTCACCATCCTGATTGTTGTATAAAAGATGATTCTGCCAGCTCTACAGAAAGACACACTCGAGTATGCTTTAGCATCCCTAAAATCTTTTTCAGTTCTTTTTGTTGCTATACAAACAGTGCTTGACTAGTCTACTTTTATTTATCCTATGTAATTAACCCAGTAAAACTATCAGACAAGCAGTCTTAATGAAGATGTACTTGCAATTTAAGGCCTCACTGCTAAGAAGCCTGGCACATTCGGAACTGTTTTAAGCGAAGTTCACATCATAACTCCTTGACCCTTTAAAACTGTTTTATACATACATAAAATTAACTTAAAACATATCTCTGAGAAGCAGTGGTTTAAAAATTCTGATCTGGAAACAGGTGGTCTATTAGGGATTGATTTTCTGCTGTTACTAGTTTGCTTTGGTGGAGTAACTTGATCTTTTCGTACACGGTGCCTTCCTCCTAGCATGATTAAGTGGTGCTTTCCTCTTCTGATTAAATGGATTAATCTATGTAAAGTGCTCAAAATAGCACCTGGCACATTTTAAGTACTTCTAACTACCTGCTACTACTATTTGGTTGGTATAGTTTAGTACATGAATATGTTAGCATAACAATATGCTCTTAGAATAGCACCTGCTTTTATGGATGTTATTAATCTCCCCAACAGTAAGCTTTTGATGCAGAAAATCCAAATAGTACAATTTGCTTAGAACCCACAGTACTTAATTGAATATGTGACAGGACTAAGTATATGGTGAGTAAATTTAACAAAAGTGTCCTACAGCCCTACAGATAAGAAAGGTAAACAATACTACCTGACCAGTGCTTGTCAATCCTGGTCATGTATTTAAATCAGTGTGGGAGATTCTAAAAAGTAAGACACTCAGGCATGATATCTGAAGATTCAGATACAAGTGGCTTGAGCGAGACCAGACACCAGTACTTTTCAAAGATACCTCCCCAGATGATTCCAATGCACACACAGCCAGGGCTGAAAGTGTCTGCCCAAGACCCTTACTGGACATTCCACGTGGATACCATACTACCACTACACATTAACTTTCTGAATTTTGCTTTCTACCCTGCTAAAAAATGCACCATTGTATAAAATAAAGCTAAAATAGCAAAACTCAAAGGCTCCCAGATGCTCACTTTGTGAAGAAAACCTTTACCTGTAATGAGAATTGGACCAGAAGCCCAACAGTCTCTTTCAGATTCTCGGTACATGTATGGTTTCAGGCCAAATTGAACAACTTTATGTTTCTGTTAATGCTTCCTGGGCATATAATCCCTCGATTACCTGCTAGACTCTAGCCAGTGTGCTAAAGCTCTTCAAGAGGGAGGACTGTCAAGTATGCAGAAGCATACTCAGTCTTCAAGTTTTAGTTTTCTTGCTACAACAATAAGCATCAGACTTACTGTGCACATGATATACAGGGCATCATTAATTTTCTTGAAACTAGAGACATCTTTAAGATGTTAATAAATATTTTTAAAAGACAAACTTATTTTATAGCTCCCAGAATGACTGTTCCACGCTGTGTTGCTGTTATTTAATAAAGTTAACGATAACTGAATGGAGGGTGGGGATCGTAGCGTTGTTACCTGCACGTTTCCTACATCTGATGTGCCGCAAAGGATCAGGTCCACTACATCACACTGAAGTCTAAAGCCACACCATGGGCAATGATCCAGAAGGTCTCCGGCCAGAGATGGAGAGCACAAGGATGACCTGATGGCTGCTGAAGTCAGTTCTCTTTATAATGGCAATGACAGTGGGCTCTCTGAAGTCTGAAGGCATCTCTTTACAGCTCCATAGACTGAGGAAAAGCCTGTGTAGATGGCTACACAGTAACCCAGCCCCTGCTTGAGGTTTAAGCAGCAATGCCATCAGATCCTAGGTTTTTTTCATTCTTCATAGGCCTGACACAAACTGGAATCATCAACCCTCTATCTTTCAAAAGGAAAAACATTCTAATAAAATAACCTCTACTAAAAAACAGAACATAAATTGTCTTCTTATGAAAATCTAAAAGACTGAGAAACAAAGATAAATTGCATATGGAACTGGCTGATAGATCCTTGCTGACCTTAGCATTTGATCTCAGAAGACTTACATTTGGCATCTGGGATACTGTGGTAGGGAGACCACACGAGCATCCCTCCATTGTCCTTGTCTGTGTACTTTGTAGCACCTGGGGAAAAAAAATTGATTACTTAGAATATGATGGATTTTATTTACGCACAAATTAGTACACACAAAGTAAGTTCTATTTATTTTAGAACAGTACCTGCAATGAACAAGAAAGTACAGAAAACAAAAAGAAAACAGATTTACGTTAAATACAGCAAATATCCTACTTCGAAAATTAAGGAAATTTCTGCAAATGCTGTTGTTTCCCCACTGTTAGGGTCTGGATTTATATGCCTCCCACTGCCTCGAGCACTCACATGTTGAGCGCTTAAACGTGACTAGATCATGAGGGGTACATCCAAGAGGCAGGTTAGTGGGTGGCGCGCCCTTGGCGTGCCTCCCTCCCAGCTCAGGCCTTCTCACTTGGTTTCCAGGCTGCCATGAGGTGAGCGGCTTTCCTCCGCCACACCCTTCCACCATGTTTTCCTGCCTTCGAGTGGGCCAACTATGGACCAATAGCACGGTCCAAAATAAATCCTCCTTTAAGTTGTGGGTGTCAAGTATTATGTCCCAGCAAGTGGCAGGAAGAGCTGGGATTCAGATTCTCATAGTCTGACCACTATGCTAAGATATTGTTCATTTCCACAAACATCAGCAAGAAAAAAAGTGACTAAGACACCAACCTTAAAAAGACAAGACTTCCTTAAGTACATGTCTCTACTTTTTTTTTTTTTTTTTTGGAATAAGGTCTCATGATGCAATTCGGGCTGGCTTTGAATTATGTAGCCCAGGCTGGCCTGAAACTCACAGTGATCCTTCCGCCTCAGCTTCCCAAGTGCTGGGATTACAGGCATGCACTACCATGCCTGGCTTTCTACTTCTTTTTTTTTTTTTTATTGAGTTTATTGGTACAATCTAGGTATACAATACAGTTACATTCATTATTGGGATCCTGTACCTCTACATAATAGGTCTTGATTCTCATTTTTTTCCCCTTGTCCCTGCCCTCCCTTCACCCTCTCCTCCCCTCCCCATTTACAAACACTTTATTTCCATTTTTTCAATTTCTCATATTTTTTTCCTCTCCCTTAATTACCTTTCCCCCACCCTTCCCACTTTCCCTACACCTTTAGCCCTTTATTTCCTATTTCACACTATTAATTATCTCATTAGGATCCTGTATACTATTATAGTTTTTCACACCATAGAAACTATTCGGCATTTCAGTTAAAGAAATCTCTGTATGAACATTAAAAATAGGGAATTATAAAATAAAACTAAAAAGGAAAGTAAAAGAGAAAACTCAATGATGTAAGATTAAAATAATCCTTAATTCTGAAGATGAAAATGGTCCCTTAAACATATTTAAATTGCTTCTTGCTCTTGTGGTCTTATCTTATTCTTTTTTCATTATTTAGAAAATACTTTATTAGTTTCTGTAATCAAACCCATGTAGATATGACCTTACATATTTAATACAGTGCGTTACCCCTGTACAAATGGAAAAAAAATAAAAATAAAAAAATTAACATTTCTAGACCAATATGGCTGTCCATTTCTGTACAAAATGCCAACGCAACACAGTAAATTGGGATAACTTTTTCCAAAGTTGACAGCACCATTACAGTTTCCAAATATTCAAATTTTATATATATGTATATATATATTTATATTTATATAAAAAGACCAATAGAGTCCAATACATCCTTCTATAAGTTCCTTATGAATTACGGTTAAAAACTTTGACCTTTTAAACTACAGAGAATACTTCATGTTTTGTTCTGTTCTATATTTAAAAGGGTCAAGATTGCTATGATTTTTAAATATGGTGTCTGCTTTTATGGCTTTTATTTAATCTGATTCCTTGATAAGCCTGTCAACTACTCCTTTTTAAACTTCACTACACTTCATGTTTATAAAAAAGTCAAAGACATAAATTAACTTCTCCTTAATGTAACCTGAAAGTATACATCTAAATATAAACATATATACACCCCCCTTGCTAATTTATTTGTAATCTAGTACAACCTAGAAAGGTAGAAAATGCTCTAATAATTTAAATTAAGAACAAACCAACACAGCTACCTCACAGTAAAGCATAGATCTTGCAGGATATTTATAATGACCAACAAATTAAGCACTGCTGCCACATGTTCTAAGATAACTTGTTTATGTAGATTCTCTTTTTTTTTTGGTACTGAGGATTGAACTCAGGTCCTTGCACTCTGGAGACAGGTGGCAGCACCACTGAGCCAAATCCCCAGTCCAATAACTTGTTAATGAATGTCAGAAGTGACTTGTGAGGCACTAATAGAATGGAAAGAATTTCACAACTCTCCACAAAAAATTAACAGAATTGAGGTTAGACTGCTTTATAAAACTATAGGGAATTTGGAATAAAGAATAATCATTTCTGGGGATAAAGAAACTACTATTATACTATTCATGTTGAAAAATTACCTATCAGGCAATAATTTAAAATCATTCAGTAATTTAATTTTGGAGAATCATATACTGCTACATGTTTACAATTCAGAAAAAAATCAGTGTCAGTAAAATATGGAGCTAAAATTTTTAAAATGTCTGTTTTATGGTAAGAAAAAATTAAAGATGGAGAAAAGAAATAAAAGAGAAACATTATCAAAGTATTAGAAAAACTCCAATTGCAAAATAAATCTAAAAAAGCTTAAAATCTTAACAAATGCAGGTCAGAATTTGATTATCTAAAACTTATTCCATGAAAATAAATTTGGAGATGTCTTTTAAAACTTCAATATTAAGATATATGCATTTAATATTTAACCATGTCAAAAATGCAAACTAGCCAACCAACTCAATGGAAATAAAAGAAACCTTATCTAAATTGGTCAGAAGTAATAAAAACTGTAATTTCCAGTGAATTTCCTAAATGTCGGTCCTTTCATGAGGGAATATTTTTGCACAGTGGATTGCGACAATAAGATCACTCAAATCCTACTTGACAGAAAATAGCATTCAACAAAGAAAGGTTCCCAGGAAGTCTCAAGGCTTAATAGCAATCATAATAATTTAACATATTTCCTTGTACCTCATTCTTGTACTACAAAAAGTCTGAATTAAAATGTCTCATAGAATTCATTTTCTTAAACAAGTGTTAAACTTGAAGAATAATCAGTCACATTTTGAAAAAGTTCTCAGAACTTGATTAGGGCATGACTGACAGAAGCTGACACTTGACCTGTAGGGTCCAACAGCACTTGAGCAGGGTGGGGTGGAAGGCAAGCCTATGGGAGCAAGGGGTGGGCCTGTGCGTTTCAGTGTTCTTAACCCTGGATGCTGGCATTTTCAATGTGTCAACTGGGCTCAAGAGACAGCTGAGGCTGCAGAAACAAACCATGCTTTAGTGTCATGGTTAAGAGCGCGGACTGAGTCAGAGCTGGATCACTTTGGATGACTCTAGTCTGGGCCTCAGTTCTCATCTCTTAAAATAGGGATGATACCAGTACTTATTCTGCAAAGTTGCTAAGAAATTACATGAGACATATACACCCTAGAGAAGATTTTATCATTAATATGTGCTTACTGAATGAAGACAGTGTTTTCTTAAATTCCCTTTTTTCTCCATGGTGGAAAGCCTTGTTATCAATTAAATAAAATAAATGAATGAAATCTCACAGGGCTATAACTCAAATGGCTGACATTCATCAATCCTTTAAAGAGGAGACTGAATAGCTGAGGCTTGGTCACTTGTTTTAACCTTTTTTTTTGGTACTGGGGATCAAACACGGGCCCCTGCACTTGAGAGGCAGGTGGAGAAACCACTGAGTCAAACCCCTGGCCAAGAGACTGAACAGCCGAAATGACCTTTTTGCTTAATTCAGATCGAATTCCTCTCCTACAAAAGATTAGGAGAAAGTAATTTGTACCATTAAAAATAAAGTATGTTGTAGGATGTTTTGTATCCAATAAATTTAACCTTTCCTGATATAAAAGTTAAAAGAAACTTCAATATTTAAAGGTGATAAACCCAATGTTTTTACCACAATATTTAATATTTTGCCTCAGTATTATCTAATATTCAGAAATAATACTGAGAATCAAATCTGATTCACTAACAGAACAACCAAGTCTTAGAAATACTTATCTTCTGAATAGATTAAAATACCAAGCTACTATAACTTTTAGACTTTTAACAATACATCAGGTCTAGAAATAATTGTTAAACAGATTTTTAAAATAAAGGCTTTAAAAGTTTAATCCCTTTGAAATCTTTTAAGTCTCTTTGGACTGCAGTTGGCAAAGTACATTTATGAGACTGCTAAGGACAACCAACTACCAAGAAACAAAAACTCGGTCAGCCAGGACTTCTACATCAATTGCAAAGTAAGTATAAAATAGAATCTCATAACTTTTTAGATTCCCTTTAAGGCATTAAAAGGACTTCAATGGAGATCACAGAGCAAATATACTAAATAAAGAATGTAAAACACTGAGAATAAGATGCACCAAACTTTAAAAATTCTACTGTTTACGTAACAGGCTCTAAATTATATACTTGATCTATCAACTTCAAATTGGGATAAACACACTTTCACAGGGCTACATAGCAGGAGTAAGTTTTAAGTGAATCAATTTTCAGGCTTTCAACTTTCCTACGTTTGCCTTCCCCAGACCATCTGTCTGAGAACTCACAGGCAGTCTGTCTCCCCTTTCTCTGGGTGTCACTTCCCATGGTCAACTACGGCCCAAACTTTAAATGGAAAATTCCACAAGGAAACCATTCATGTTTTGAATCACACACCCACCTGAGCAGCGGCACATCCCTCTGCCCAGCACACCCACGCTCTGCATCTGCACGGCTGCCAGATCGCTGGTGTCATCCTGCCTTCTGGTCACTTCAGCGGCACCGGAGGGCTGGTGCTCAGGCAATGCTTACTTAGTAGCTGACCCAAAGAGCAAGGGCAGCGAGCTGATGACCGGGAACACACCCCAAGTTCCTCCCAGGAGAAAGGCCCTGCTCCTGCCTTCACAGGGGCTGTCTTGATCTGCAGAGTTCTGTGTGTCCCTGTGGGTACGGCGGTCTGTGTGTGCTCAGGCCTCTTCTGCGGTCCCTCTTAACAAGTGCCCTCTCTACCCCTTAAGCACACTGCATCTCTTATCCCTTCCAAATCTTCCAAGAATCCACTGCTCATAAAACTGAAAAGCTCCAGAATTCCAACGCGTCAGCAAAGCCCTCCCTTAATCAAGACACCAGTAACTACTTCGGTTTTAACCAATTATCATTAATCCAAGCAGGGTAATTCTAACACTTGGAAACTTATGGTCACAAGAAAACATGAAGAAAAGCTGGGCCATAGGAAAAGTAGAAAAGCTGGGCAGGTGATCAATAAAGCACCTTCAGCACACAAATACACTATGGAAGTTAAAGTTCTGTGGGGAAAATGCATGGAAGTGATTTCACAGACAACAGCAATCATGTAAACTTTCAGACTCCGAGAAGCATACCCAAATATTTTATGAAATAGATACTACTGGATCACTATAGTATTTATATTTAATTGGATGTGTTTAAAATAATAGAAACTGTTAGTATCTTTAATATAATGCCAGAGATTACATTCTTCAATTATTTTAACTCAAAAGATGTCAACTTTAAAATATGAGAATCTGTTTTCTCAAAATTCTCTTATGGGTAAGTAAGCAAAAACCAGTGCCTTGCATACATTAATTTTCAACTAATCTTGCCACACAGTCAACATTATCTTCCTTTTACGAATTAAAACAAAAGCCTGGGAAACTCAGGCAGTTCAGGTAAGGCAACTACACAACGCTTCGCCACACAAAACCACTCGTCCTGCACCAGGGCAGCCAGGAGGCACTAGGAAGTCAGGAAGAACTAGTAAACAGAGTAGGTAATAACCAGGAATCCAGTTAGTGAGTTATAAAGACATTAGCAGTAACGACCCTTTAACTACAGGGAAGTAACCCTAACTCCAACACCAATCTCAATTCTTCTCATCAGCTAAAACATTCTCTTTACACGCTCAATTACTATCATAGTCACTATCATCTCTTCCAATAAAAATACCCTCCACAAAAAAATCCTTGTCTAATTTCTCTCCATTTCATCACAATTCTTCTTCCAATTCTTCAGACTGCAGGGCAGGGTGCATAATCTCCAGAAAGGTGGAGTGAGAGGTTCAGGAGACCAAGGTAAAATGAGGAGAAAAGGAGTTGACTTGCTCCTGCTCAGTCTCGAACACTACTTAACAGATGCCGCTTTTCCTCTAGGACCTTTTCCAGGGTAAGGTTTAAATTCTCAGCTAATTAGACTGGAATGACGTGAAATAACAACTTCACAGAACAGTACAACGCTCGGAAACAGAACCGCAAGGCGCACAAGTAGTACAGTGATTTCTTGCAGAAAGTGTCTAATAAAAAGGACACGGGGTACACTCCTGTAACCCAGCGCTCTGGAGGGGAGGCGGGAGGACTACGAATTCCAGCCCAGGCATCGGAGTTGTAGCTCAGCGAACAGGCCCTGGGTTGAATCCCTAGCACTCGTGGGGTGGGGATAATCTTCACCGCTTCACATCTAAACTTAGCTTCTAATGTGTCCCCGGACTGGACTGTTAAATAGAAAATAAACAGGTGAATTTAAATACCGTGATGTTTATCCTTATTCCAATAAAGAAAACCAGTTACAGTGCAATTCTTTATTTAAAGAGTAACATTGCAGTGAATTTTTTTTTTCTCTCCACAAATCTTTTTAGGTTCAAAATAAGCAAAATAAGAGTAAATTGGTTAAAGCAAATAGATGTCATATAAACCATCTAAATACTTTATTTACTGAGTCATTCTTCACAAATTTAAAAATTTTTCCGGTTTATCATTAAACTAAAAAAGCTAGTACGGCATTTGCAAGTCTGCCGTAGTCTGGCTCTTAGAAGATATAGGAAATAAATATCGACTCAAACTGACTGAATGGGGCCATAAATAAGGTATGTTTGTTAACTTACGAAATAATACTGACTGCTGAATTCTAATTTGGGAATAACTTTATCGACAGCAAAGAAGTACCAGGTACCAATAAAGCTCCCCTAAAAAAGGTCTAAATTCACTGAAAATCACTCCTCAAAATTACGGAATTTGACCTTTCCTGAATAGCTGCCATATATGTCCAGTCATCTGATCCTGCCAAAAATGCTACAAAATAGTTTTCATCTGAGGACCTGAAAACGCAGGATCGGAAAGCTGTTGACTTGCTCAGAAAATCTAGAGCTGAAGCCGGGAAAAGAAGCCTAACGCGGAGAGCCCTCTGCAGACGCCAAGCTGAACCCCGAGGCAGCAGGCAACGCCGAAGCACCGCTCACCTCCGGACCCCCGCCAGGCAGAGCCGGGGTCACACGGCATCGGGGAGCCGCCGGCCGCGGTAAAAGCCGCGTCACGC